TGTGTGTGTGTGTGTGTGTAAAAGAAAAAGTTTGGTTTGAAGCAGCTAAAGGCTTATTCTTAGAAAAAAGATAAGCCTAATTATTTTTGGTATGCAACATTTTGTGTACATATTTTAGTTGGTAAAAAGGTCACTTTTTTACATTTTCCTCCTTATTAAATGTGGCTACTATTTTATGTTTATTATCTGTTTTCAATTATATCCACAGTTTTTGCTTTTTACTCCAAATTTTTTAAGTTAATTATTTGTTGTTCATATTAAATTAATATTGTACAGTTTCTTCCTTTACTGCCTCCCCTCCCCCTAAAAAAATCAATCTTATTCAAGGATAAAGTTGCAAAATTTCATTAAAAACTACCCAATTTAGGATACAAGTTTATGCTTCAAGAGTTTTTTTTTCCCCTGAAAATTTTTGATTTTTTTTTTTACAATTTGATTTACTTTAATCATTAATTTTTTTCAATAAGAACTTTATTAGCTTTTCAACTATTGCAATATCACAAACATTTCCATTTTAGTTGTTTGTTTTTAAAATAAAAAACTAAAATAAAGCTGACTAGTTTTACTTTTCAACTAATGCAATACCACAAACATTTTTATCTTAGTTGTTTGTTTTTAAAATAAAAAACTAAAATGAAGCTGTCTATATTCCAGACTAGTTTTATATATAAAAAAAAAAAAATCTGTGAAATACGTGCTAATTTAGTAAATTTAAGTGTATGGATTTAAAAAATGATATGTTTCCTCAGAAAAGCTCCATAATAAGCTAAGTTAATATCTGTGTTGAGTAATTATTTTTTATTTGAACTGATTTATTGTTTCTTTTGTTCTCTTTCTATTGTTGTTGTAAACTATAGTCTCCAGCTCAATAAACCATGACGTCTTAGCTATTTTTAGAGTAGGCCTATTCCTAGCAGCTAATATATTTTCCACTGTAATACCATACATGTATCTGTCTCATGAAATAAAATTATACATTCGATATATATTTCCATTTTTAAATTGCACCTTGGAAAAGAGATGGTGTAGGCCTTTTTATAGTTCTTAACTAATAGAAAAATGTTTATCAGTTTTTAATATTTTCTATTTCTAGTTGTGTTTAAAATGAAAATTTTACATTATGAATGAAATTATTAAATTAAGTATTTTTTGACAAGTGATAAAAGATGAAATTTTAAAAAAAATTAGCTAGCATGTTATCTTTTTTTTTAATTTTTTTTTTTTTACATATAACAATACTATCTTCTAATTTCGTGCACATTTTATGAAAATTTAATGTTGTTTCTTATTCTCTGACTCAAAAATCCTTTGATTCTCATTAAAAATCTATCTGCCTTTTATTATTAATAATCAATAACTAAACAGACTATGAAGGCCCAAGGCTTACTTAAAATGTTCTGTTTCCATTTTTTCTTCTCTATTACATAATATATATTTTTTTAAATTTATGTATGATAAACTAAATATTGTAAAGTACTCCCACAACAACTAATGAGGCATGGAAGTTAAGGCTTCACAATTTAAGGACCAGTAGTATTTTTACAGCAATGTGTTCAAAATTATATGTAGAAAATGATGGGGGGAAAATACTATACCTGTCGCTTCTGTTGATAGACTACAATATGAAACTAATTCAACTTGTAATAAAGACCTGTTTCCTTGTGTTCTTACTAAAAATAACAATCATTAGTTCAATTGACCTTGAAAACCTGTATATTCAGCTTCCATTGGTGCTTTTTTCCCCCTAGAAATACACAAATATTTCATAATATCAAATTATGCATTATATTGCTAATTTTTGTTACTATTTGCTTTCAGGTTTTATATATTAAAATTATTTTAAGAGTTTATTTCTTTTAAAAAAAATTTTGTAAATGTATGTTAGAATTGTTATCATATTTGAAAAATATTTAATTGTTATGTTGGATGAGGGGGGAAAATCATATATCTTTACAAGTGTTAAATGTGTGTGCCAAACTTTGGAATCTCTATTTTTTATGTGTGATATAATTAGGTTTAATCTAATAAGTATTTTCTACCAGTATCTTCGTTACAAAAAAAGTATTTAAAATTTTTAGATATGCTAATGATTTTTATATTGAAGAAATGGTGAAAATTTGGTGTCTTTGTGAAATTTATCATGAAAGTATTGGCTTGAATTATGAAGTATTCGTAACTACTTACTTTTTCTACACTATTGCTGTGATATGGAGGTCAGGACTATTGTTTGATTTGTATAACATACTGTATAAAATTATGATTTTTCTCAGATTAGTAATTGTAAATATTAGCTTTGAAGGTGAAAAAAATATTAGTATCTGAAATCATTATAAAATCAAATACATATCTTTATGTAAAATAAGCAAAAAACAGGAAAAAAAAACACAATGAATAACTTTTAATTTTCACATTAAATTAAACTTTTTTAATTCAAAATGCTCATTTTAGATATGCTAATTAATTTATATTTACCATCAGTTAACAATATAAGGCACAAATTAATCTCTTTGTTAACATGCATCTCTTATTTTCATTTTAATCGTCAATACACAGCTTTTTGAAATAATTTCTTAAATTGTACAGTGCAGCTTTCAGAAGAACTCCACCAGGCACGCATCATGGCGAGAACCGTGATAACGAGGAAAAGTCACTTCAAATAGGGGTGTTTTGTGAATAGTTTTTTCTTGATCTTGTAAACCAATCAACACCTTCATTCCTCCATTGCACCCCCATTAAAAATGTGCTCTCACTTGTTACCATAGCAGCAGACAGCACCAGACCTTTAGTCTGGAGGAGTTCTCCTCAAAGCCGCACAGTACCTTAGTGGTAGATGGAATACAAATGGATGAGTGCAAAACTCCATATAACCTAACCTTTAACTTGAACTAGTTTCTTAAAGTGTTAACGGTTCCTCTCTGTGAACATATTAAAAATATTGTTCTAAGCAGCAACATTCATTTGTGCTGTGGCTTGCTAGAAATCAGATGCGTATAATGCAGCAATCGGAAAGAGTTCTAGGCTGCGGTTTGTAAGTTTAAGTTGTATAAAGAATGTTTTCTCACAGGCCTGTTTTAGATGTAACAACCTTTTGGCTATTACACCAACTGCATCAAAAGGCATTTTGCAGCATGAACTATCAATGTAGTGCACATACATTATTGCAAATGGGCTATTTGTTGAGAGTCAGCTTATGGGGCTTTAAAAAAAATTCTGATCGAAAGCTTTTATGGTGTTATGTGTTCCGTCACCTCTAATGTATGTGCCTTGAGTTCATAAACAAATCTTGTAAATAAGAGTAATCACAATCAACAAAACATAGTCATAATATTTTAATCAAGAACCATTGATTCCCTCATGGTGTTTTATATATATATATNACAACACAAGAATAGTTACTTGTTATATATATATATATATATATATATATATGCATACACACCTGGAACTAAATGCTTAACTCAAAACATTTTCCACATCCGCAAGTTAATAAAACTTGTTTCCAAAAGATAATCAATCCCTTACAAAATATAATTTTTAATATTTATTTATTATTATTATAAAATAAGGTTACAAAATTTTCATTATAGTTTGAAAAACCTGTTATCTTTATTCCAAAAGTCATGTTTTCAAACTGTTATTTCTCAGGTACTATCAAACAATTCCCTTTAACAACAACAATTTGTATTTTTTTAACTTATGTAGTTTAATAAGATGTTAATATACAGGTCTAATTATTATGAATTTTCATTAATAATGTTTTGACCCTTCTTAAAAGTTATTTTGTAGTGCTAAATTTTCTTAGAATCAAAAAATGTTTTGATTTGTGCTATTAATCTTAGGCACTGTGCAAAAGTGGAAACTCCATTAAAGGATCCAAATTATCAGTAACTATCTTGATTAAAATTTTTAGATTCTGCTACAACCCCCCCCCCTCACCCTCTTAAATTTAATTGTTAATACTGCAAATCACCCATAGTTAAAATTGCTTTTATACAGAAAAAATTATATTTTGTGTCTGATTTCATAATTGTATTAATACATACACTAATTAATTAGCATATCTAGAAAGTGTTTTTTTTTAACCATAAAGATGGCAATTTAGTGGATGAAAATTTTTATTGTTTGATCAAAAACTATTTAGGATTTTTTATTTTGCTTAGTGAATACTTGAAATCCTAAAGAAGCACTTCAATTCATATAAAGAATTCTTATAT